TCTATACTTTGGATTGTTAAAAATAATTAAACACGATAAATTTTATCATTTCCGTATCTTCTATGGCGGTTTTCTTTTCATTTAATACTAGCTATATTTTAAAACTTTTCGTCGTTACTAATTTGAATTAATAAATATATATTTAATTATTTTAAAGTTTGTTCTATTGAAATTATCTATACCTATCTACTTTGCTGTTCTGTACTTTCAAACGTATTGTTGTAACGTTGATTTTTTGTTGAGCTGATTTTTTAAAAATTGGTTAGTGAAAATAATTCGAACTGACCGATAACAGATTAGCTTATTTCTTTCTTTACATTTCTACAGACTGTTATAACTTGTAGGCCTAGTTTTACAAATGATGTTTTAACGGAAATACTTCGCTATAATGGTACTATGAGTAATGAATAAATACACTTGTATAATTACACGACTAATCGATTGAGTAACTAAATATACGCGATAATTAATAATGATACAAGTACTTCACTGAATGACTGGCACTCTACTGACTGCTTACTCGCATTTACATTACGTTTTGACACGTTTATTTCTATCAATACCCGGTATCTCGATTCTTTACATTTTGCCACGTTGACCTTGACAGAAAAATCCTGATATGTTTTACGAACAATGGAAAATGATAGAGATTATTGTTTAAACAAACAAACTAGACCATTGTTTGTTTTTCAGTAAATAAAAAAATTTGTATTTTGCTCTCATGCGTTGACTGCAATTCTGAACTTGTATTAATAGTCAAGAGCTAGCAGCTTTATTGTACAAGTTAGTGGGGCCGGGCATGGCCTAGTTTCTAGACTGTGAATCCAAGGGTTCATGTTTCGTATCCCGTTTGTTGCATAAACTCTCTCTTCACTTTATTGGATGTTTTATAAGAATGTTAGCCAAATTCCGTTTGTCGGTCAGGTACAAGTTGGCAGTGGGTGCTGTTGACCAGCTGTCTTCCCTCTAATCTGTCAATTCAAAATTAACGACTGATGTGTGTATATAGCTTTTGGATAGCTTTGTTCGAAAATTCTAAAATAAATAAGCATATCAAGCAAAAGCTTGTGATGGCCTCGTTTCAATAGTTTATTGATTAACTTTGGAAATTATAGGTAAGCATTTAGGGTAAAAGCTATACAGGAAATCATTATTTCATCAAGTTATTTAACGGTACGGAATCTGAAATTGTCTGCTGGTTAGGGTGCTAGACTTGCGGGATCGAAACTTAGCGTCGAATAAGCTCACCCTTTCAGTCGTGTGGATGTTATAATGAGCTGGTTAATTCCAATATTCGTTAATAAAGATTATACAAAGAGTTGGTGGCAGGTGCTTCTGTAATTGACAGTTCAAAATGAGAAACGGCGACAGATAACCTTTGGTATCCTTACCATTAAAACAGACAATAATTGGTACTGAATGAAGAATTGTTTCTTGTCTATGATTTTGATGTAGTGTTTAGGTGGATTATTATCCTGCCAAACGTATTATAGTAGAAGTTTTGTTACGTTTTTCCCATTAAGATCTTCGTACAACGTCTGTTTGTGATTACTAGTAAGTGCTTAGTTTTAAGCTTAATTGAAAACGCGTTTAACTTTTATCATTAAGGCTTGTAGTATTATGACGTGCCTATGTAGCGGCCACCTACAGTCCACTTTCGATTTTCTCCGACATCCCTTATCGTTCTACATATTGTTGGGAGTGCAGATCTGTTTTTAACGGGAAAAAACAACAACAACTAAGTGAATACATCTGTTGATTACTTTTCAAATACTTACAGTAGCATTTCTTTACGTAGTTTAGAAAAAATATATTTAATGATTCGAGGACTAGGCTGCCTCATTATTTTTAATATACTCCCTTAAGGAGATTAGGCTAGTGTATATCAAGTTTTTATCTCCCATCAGTACTTCTCATCTTGCATCAAAGATGCTGCTTTTCAAGGACAACTGTCAATGAATGTCGTGTCAACTACTATTGCTCATTAATCTTTGGTATTCCAAACCTATTTTCCCTGCATGACAATCCCCTGTACGTGTCTCTGTTGTATACCTTATTTATGTATATCAACAAGAAATGGTAAAAATAGATATAAACCATTGTTACCATTACTGTGGTCTGTATTTCACTGACTCGTACGACTTTTCATTGTGATAGATTTACAATTCACCAACAATATTTGTGATATTTAGTGTCAAACTAAACCTGTATTTTTACTTAAGGTATACAAAATTCGTAACTGGTTTATTATTTTTTCAGTCGTGTTTCTTAGCTATTTTTTAACACTTTTAAACCTTTTTACGTAAGAAAGCACGCTGTTGTACATTGGTGTTTAAAGTCTGTGAATAAGGTTTCAAATTAAATGTAACAGTCATTTTTTATCTTTTTAGAAGAGACATTCGCCACATGCACAGTTTGCCTTCTTATCAAAACATTGTGGAGCCATCCTTGAAATTGATACGTTGGACCAGTTACCGGTCATGGTCTCAAGGCTGAGATTGTTACATGTTACGCGTGCATCTTGTCGAATTCTTTTTATATTTACTATTATAAAATAATATTGTCAGCAGTTTAGCGTAGATTTACAGAAGTTTTTTAGTAATATGGGCAGAGGACGTTAACACTTTTATTTATTGAAACATGTCCTTGATCAGGTGTCCTGATTGACCAAACTGGTGAAATTCCATATTCGTATACATTTTTTTTCGTAATTATGGATAGTTCCCCTGTGAGGCAGCTCCGAGTTTACGGACTTACAACGCTAGAATCTGGTGTTCGATTCCCTGCGGTGGACACAGCAGATAGCCCAATGTGGCTTTGCTCTAAGACAAACAAACAATTATGATAATGAACGCATGACACAAAATAAATAACTTAGAAACATTGTAGTACTGAGACAACGGTTTTTGTTAAATAAACAAACACAGCTTGTAACTCCACATAAAAGAACGATATATTTCATCCAGCGTTTTTTTTTTTATGGTTTCTAAGGGGTCAAATGTTGATGTAGGTACACAAGCGCTCGTAAATTTCGGTGGTTTTTATTTCACACAGTACAGAATCACTTGTATATTTAATCATCGCTGCATTTACAAGTTGGAGCAGTAGAAATAGAATACAGAATTTCAAAA